CTTTGTTAGTAGGTAAGTAATTACCTTTGACTTTTCTATATTGAATTTTAAATACTGATTGATTAGCTGGCTATGGATGCCTTGTATTCAGTGAGGATTGGGGGCAATAAATGTAACACATGTAACATGGTTAGTCGAAGGATTGAGTTGTTTGATTATTTTGTTCAATTTGTTTGCACTTATTTAATATTACTCTATTACTCTCTTATATGTTATGATGGATATGTGTTGTATATCGTACATAATTTTTATTTGTATGTGAATAGGAAGAATTTCAGAGAAGATACTCTGAGGCTAGATCTGAGGCAGCATCCTGTGCTGCTGAAACCGAGTCATCTCCATTAGATCCTATAGAGGAGGAGAGAATAAGGACTGAAAGTTGGATTCTTGCTGCATCTAGCAACAAAAAGGGTCGGATCTACGGTGTTGGAGAACTTGCCCATAAGTTTAGGCCTGGAGATACCCTCTCATATTCAGCATCTACTGATTCTCGTGAGATTACACAATTAAAGAAACAAGTGCTTAGTTATAGGGAGGATAATGAAAGATTGAACCACCAATTACAAACACTTGTCAGTGTTGTCCTTCCTTTACTTCCACCCGATGCCCGACAAGCATTTCAACAACAACATTCCCAACAAGGATCACAACAACAATCACAACAGGAGCAGCGAAGAGCGAAAGAAGCGGCCTCAAGATGAACAAGGACATTACTATAATTATTAGGACACTCAAACAATATTGTCATAATATTTATTATAGTACTTCTTTGGATTTGTATGTTCTTAGATATTTCAAGGACTACTTGATGCATGCTAATATTAGGATTTGTGTTTGATATCTGAATATGCATTTGGTGCATATAAATATTATGGAATATTGTTAAATTTGATATCTAAATATTTTATGTGTAATATGCATGTAACAGGTAAAATTTAGTTAAATTGGTGGTGATAAAATTGTATAAATTTACCTAGTGATTTTCCTACGGATTTACCTATGGATTTTGAATGATGTAATTACCTACAGATTACAATCCGTAGGTAATTACGTACGGATTCTGTTCGTGGGTAATTAGCTACGGATTGCAATCCGTAGGTAATTACCTACGGATTGCAATCCGTAGCTAATTACCTACTGAACAGAATCCGTAGGTAATTACCCACGGACGACATTACCTATGGATAGTAATTCCGTAGGTAATTACCTACGACCATATTACCTACGGATTTTATACGGAAAAAAATCCGTAGGTAAAATGACATTACCTACGGATTTTTACCATTACCTACGGATTTTTGCCGTAGGTAATAGGCTTTTTTTTTGTAGTGTTTTTCTCTTTTCATTCAAAAAATAAATGATTTTAAGAAAAAAAAATTATTAGGTAAGGCTTTCGCTTGATTCAGGATGCCTAAGATAGAAGAATTTGAAACGATGAAACAAATCTTAACAAAATAATACTAAATATATATAGTGTCATGCTTTTAGCTCATGACTTCCACGGAAATTCCAACTCTAAAAATGCTTCACTTTTATCTACAAAGTAAACCAGTCAATGGATATAATTTACTATCTTCACAAACCAGTAAAATAATTTACATAAATTTTGAAAACAATATTTGGAGTTGGTAGATCTAAGTTACGAACTCGAGTTTTTAATCAATCAAAACTCCAACTTAGAATTATGATAATGTCAACTTCATTTCATCACTACCTACACACACCTTAATTTGTTGATTTCATCGACCCATAAGAACATTAGTTTTACTACCTTACACCGGAAATTGGACAAAACTTGGAATTTTTGAACAAGTTAACCTTCTGGGGAACATGTTGAAGTAGCCATAAAATAAGTAAAACTTTTTGAACTCATAGGATTCCCTCCATTCATGGTCCTCCACAATCATTCACTCTACCATGAATATAACCAATCTCATAACCCTAAAAAGATCATCATTGGTTAGTAGCAATATTTCACAAACTCAAAAACATGCCATGTGTCATTCTTTATACACAATTATCCCAAATTCCACCATATTAGTGGACAAATCCCATTCCTCCAAGTTAACAACAAACACAAGCAGTGGCATCTCTTGGCTGCATTTAGGTGATTAGGCCTAATTCAAATGGACCACGTCTTGAACAAGGGGACAAAATAGCCATCTTAATTTCACCCACTAAACTCAAATTGCAACAAATTAATATTCCCTAATCGTGTCATATAAAAATATGATGAAAGCTTTAATGGTGCATGGAAACAGCAGAAGGGACATGGGAACAAAGGGGTGGCCCCATGAATCATTCTATCAACAACGGCTAAATTCCAATACGTCACTAGAAGCTATAAACAAAAACTTTTTATCATTATTTTTTTATTCTTCTCTTTTGTTCTTCATTTAACGTTGCCAACCCGTTCTTTTCTTGCATGTCGACAAACTTTGACGGCCCTTCTTTTGTTTCATTCTAACTCTATTATTATACTATATTATGAAGTTTGATTTGTACGTATTATTAATGTAAAAACTTTTACATATGAAATTGAATGCTATATATCTTTTAAGGTAATCAAACATATTATAAACTGATTTTTATTAAACTACCTAAAAAAATTGAAACTCAAACACAACCTTGTCTTCTCCAAAGTTTTCGTTTCTTAATTACCTTCTTGGTTGTCATGGATAGATAACCTTCACATGTCGGCAAAACTCATTGAGTAATTATCTTAATGAACTTCATCGTAAATGTTCACAAAAATATAACACAGACAAATATATATTTTTTAAATATTATTAGTGTAATAAATTTACCCGGTCAAACAATATATTTATAATATTTTTAAACATAGTTACTATTAAAATCAGCCACCTTACCTAGCCGTAACAATTGATTCTGGATGATATATTTTGTATATGAACGACGACAATTTTATTCCTTAATTTATTCCCAAATTGATATTAAGGTTAGATGGAAAAAGTGAATGTAAAAGTAATTTCAAATAAGAACAATATATAAGAACAATATACATTACTTTTACATTGAGCAACGGTAACATATGAAGGTGATGGAAGTGCAAGTGTAATTTGGTGTTTCGACCACATAAAATGGTAACCTTTTTTTTTTTTTCCAATAAACCAAGCCTTACCTTTAGTTTTCTTTGCAACATACACACAAAAACAAACTATGTTAAAAAATTTACTTTTTCTGTCGTGACCTTGATACCTAGTAACTCATACAAGAGTCAAGAAATACCTTTGTATAGTACCTTTTTTTTTTTATTCATAACAATTCAATCTTGAAAGCCTATTAATCACTTGTACCTAATTCTTTGATAATTTGCATAGAGTACCTTTGAATGCACTTAATTAACTATTTTTTCTTCATATAGTCTCCTTAAAGCTCCACTAAGAAAAATGTTATTTGTATACAATAATTTTAAAATGTATACTGTAAAAAAATGTGATGCCACTTTAAAAAAAAAAAAAAAAGTCCATGCAGATAAATTTAAACCAATATTCTTAATATAATAATTTGTAGTTGAGTTATAAACAGTAAATTAATATATATAATAGTTAAACCCACTTCAAATGTATAAAAAAATGCTTAATAATATTGAATGTGATCTAAATCGTACTAACATATATAGTTAAAAAAAAAGTGTACTAACACATCATATGTACATGAAATTGAAGTATATATGTTAGGATAAGTAAAATGTTAAAGTAAGAATGGTCAACTAAATTGAAATGGAGTTGGGCTATAATCATGCAAAATTACAAAGGCAAAAATTACAAAGGCAAAAATCTGTTTCTGCACGCATATATTGCAGGCATGCATCGTAAATAATTGAGCTTGGATGATTTTGTGGCTAGTAGTGATTAACACGGTTCAATTTGGAAGTTAGCACGTATTGACCATGCTATATTTCAAACAGGAAATACTCATTTATTATTCTTCACCTTTATTAGCTACCTCTAAAATTATCTCTAATGCTTAACAACAAACATTAGTTATAAACATATAATTTGTCTATAAATAAATCGTCTTATACGCTACATCAGTTTTACGATAAGTGATGTAGGAGGTTACACTACAAGAAAAACACTAAATAGTGATCGAAAATTCGGTCACTAAATGTGCAAAATCGGTTACTTAATTAAAATAGTGACCAAAATAGTGACCAACTGTAAAATCAGTTACTAAATATAAAAAAAAAATCAGTAACAAAAATAATTACATAAATTAAATATAGATTAATTAAAAAAATAAATTAAATAATAAAGTGACTGAAATAGTAACCGATTTTTTGTGACCGAAAATTCGGTTACTATTTCTGATTACTAGACTAAAAAATAATAATTTGGTTACTTGATTCGAATAGTAACTAAATTTTTCGATCATTGATTTCGATTCTTATTTGACATTTTTCTAGTAGTGTTAAAAGAATTTTTGGTGTTAACATTAATAATGCTTTATACAATAGTTTAATTGATATATACAAATTTAGATATAAAATAATTGATATAATGTGGTTAAAACATTATTATTACTCTTTTCTAAATCAAAATCAAAGATGGTAAACACGAACCTACATCATATTTTGCACAGTAGCAACTGTTGGCATTTTCAGAAGCTAATCAAACCCATCATCCAATATGCCGGGAGAGCAACTTGCAAGTACAAGAGGCACACATTATAAGCATTAAAAATTAGAAGCACGAAGAAGCGTACAAACTACAAATGGAGATTGGAATATACCTACGTTCATACGCACTCTCTTCCAAATCCTTACACACGCACATATATATATATATATATATATATATTGCACATATAGATCAGTATAATCATATAAGCCACCAACGTGTTTTCTCTATCCAATCATACACACCATATGCTAAAAAATACGCCAAACTCAACTCATACCAAAACAAGCTACTCTCTAGCTAATCAAAACACTAAAATCTCGTTCTTTTTTTGGCCTTTTTATTATTATTCTTGTTATGGCTGGAGCTGAAGCTACAAAATATGCTTCTGCTACAAGTCCTACTACCACTGCTACCACCAACATGGCCAACAGATCGAACAAGCCAGCAACCATGATCAGAAGGTTCATTGGGGTGAGGCAAAGACCCTCAGGGAGGTGGGTGGCTGAGATCAAAGACTCTTCTCAGCACGTGAGGTTGTGGCTTGGAACCTATGACACTCCAGAAGAGGCTGCAAGGGCTTATGATGAAGCTGCTAGAGCCCTGAGAGGTGAAAATGCCAGAACCAACTTTGCTCCAATGAACCAAGTCGTAGGGCAATCAGGGTCTAACCTTTCAACTGGGTCTGATGGGAAGCATGGTTTGAGCTTTGCTTCCTTGAAGGCCAAGTTGAGCAAAAATCTTCAGAATATCATGGCTAGGGCAAGTGATCACAACAAGTCCTCGAAGAGTAGGGTGAGTGACCACTTCACCTTCGCCAGCATCTTCCACCGCAGGAGCTACCAAATCCCTGAAGGGGACATGAGAAACATTGAGAAGGTGGTGCAGCCTAGTATTATTGTGCCTCCACTGGAAGGTGGTTGTGATTATCCTTCTGCTGCAAACTGGGAAAGTGCTTCCAGTGTCTCTGATTGCAGCTCTGAGTGGGTCGGGTTCGGGAAATTCGGGTTGGATCTGTCAGACGGGTCGGATATTGGAGAGGTTAGTGTTGGTGATCAAGGGTTCTTGGAGCAGTTGATGGGGTGGGTTGAAAGCCCTGATGTTAGTGATCAAAGTGAGGGCTCAAGGAGTAAGAGGTTCAAGGTGTCTTCTTCTGTGCTTGTCCCTCCAACTTTCACCGCCTCTCCTTATGATTGTGGATCCCCTTATAGCGGTTATGCCTCTCCTTATAACGGTTACGCTTCTCCCTATAACGGTTGTGCCTCCCCTTGTAATGGTTATGCTTCTCCGTATTATTATCATAAGAAGTGATGAAATCGAAGCACGATATGTAGCACATGTACTCCTATAGAATCAATCATCAAGCTGGTGCTTGCTTGCTTGGCTTGTTTAGAAGGTTAAGAGAATAACTACATGTTTTGGTGAAGGAAAGTTTTCACTGCATGTATCTACAAAAGAGAACTTGGCTGCAGAGAAAAAAAGAGTGTTATGTCATGGATATGAAATTACTGATGAAAGTTTAACTCTCTTTCAAGTTGGTTTCATATCTGTACTGTTTGGGATGTAACAAAGGATAATTTGAGTTAAAAGGCCAAAGAAGCATGTGATGTACATGCATGTGTATGTAATATATAAACATCCTTGAATCAAAATATAGTGGAAAATATACTTTTCAATCAAATGAAACACACAATGAAGGTATATACACTGAAAATACCATGTTTTGCTTTTCATTTTTGGCATCCTACTCGTAGGGTTTGGGTAAATTTGGATGTATTGAAAGATTTTGGAGGGAATAATGTGGTTGTTTACAGAAGCTCCAATGCGGAGACTCGTTTGAGACGAAGCAGTCAAGTTAGTTTTTTATTAGTTAGGTGAAAATAAAGAACTTGAGCTATGAATGTGGATGGCACAATGTCACAATTCAAAGATTCGTGCTTTTATAAGGGTAACATGATAACAATTAATAGCAAGCATGTGGAATGTAATAATCAGATTGGAAAATGATACTTTCACCACTCAAATCCATACAACTCCTATAAACAACTCTATTTTAATATTATAATAATAATTTTGTTTTAATTTTTATTTTTATTCCATCATTTTATAGATTATTATATTAATAAAAGTGAGTTGTTTAAAAAGTTGTATGATTTCTGGGTGTGAAAATATCACCACTCAATCTGATTTTAGGTTTGGATGAGAGTGCCGTTTCAAACATGCAGCCACCTAATAGAAACATGAGCAAATATAACAGTTCATTCTTCTGAGTGATTATCAGTATGAAAAAGCCAGCCTATGGTTACTGGCTAGTGGTAGTTAATTAGATACAGTTAAACTCACTTAATAAATTAAAAGCATAGTTGACAAATATAAAATAATAAATAACCATATTTTATTGATTTAGTATTTTTTTTAATTTAAAAAAAAATTACAAATAATTTTAAAAAAATACTAATTTAAAAATTGGTTCGATGAAAGATGATAGTATGAATGTGAAAAAAAAAAAATTAAGAAAATCTTGATAATTTCATAGCTAGGTACGTGAAAAACTTTGTAGAGTAATTATACGATTATATATAGCTATAAGTTATATAATTATGATAATGTGTAATCCATCAGGATGCTATTGTTGCTGTAGATGTAGAAGGTTCTACTATTTTTATTATTATTTTAAAGTATGGCGCGGTCGAAAGTTTAGATATCTAACTTACTTTTTATCTCAGACTCTTAGCATAATATAGAAAAGGAGGAGAAAGAAGAAAATATAAAAGAAGAAATCTGAAATTAAATCACATAAGAGAAATAAACAAAAGAAACCAAGAAAAAAAATTTAGAGAATTTTAACACCCTAAAAAAAAATCATTCCTTTCAATAAATCACTTTTAAATTTTTATACTATTATTATTTAATTTATTTTATTGTCCGTTAATAAATAAAAAAATTATTTTAGAATTATTTATAAAATATTTATTAAAATTAGGTGTTAAAATTTTATTTTATTTTTCTAAAATTTATAATCAGATACGGAGCCAGGACATACGTGAACTTCTCCCAAAATTTTGATTATATATATAATCAAATAAAATTATTTTTTAAATATAAAAAATTCATTATTATATTTTTTTATAAATATTAATAATATTAATTCTTATAATAATTAAATTTTTTATATATTCTTTTTATATTTTTTTATAATTCTTTTACTTACATATTCTTATATTTTCTTCTAGACTTTCATTTAAAGTAAATTTTTTTATTTATTATTATAATATATTATCATATATATTATTTATTATAATTAATTAATTATTTTAATATTTTACAATATTTAATATTAATATTAAAATATAAAAAATAGTTAAATTTGAAAAACATCTTTATATATTATTTTTTTAATATACATAACTTATGACGAATAATATTAAAATTATTATTAAACAATTTATATTATAAATTATATAATAATTAACAATTTTTATAATATAAAATATTTTAAATATAATTAAATACATTTAATTTCATATATATTTATTTTATATCAATATTAAATATATGAATAATTTAAAATTTTTAATAAGTTTATAATATATATTTTATATAATAAATAATTATAATTTCTTAAAAAAAATTATAATTTTACCCTTACTATTATAATTGTAACATTTCTTTTTATAATAATAATTATATGTAATATAACGTTAAAAAAAGTCTTAAAAATTAGAAATACGATTTCTCTTATCATTTATGTATATCACAAATATAGTAAATTATAAATAAATGACATAGTATGTTATATAAATGATAAGTATCTATATAACTATTGTCATGTATTATGATTCTAAATAAACTTTTATTAAAAAATTTAAAATAATTTATATTTTCAATTATTATTTTTATATAATTATGGTTAAAATATATATTTTTTATTTTATATTAGGATAAGATGATTATAATACAAGAAAGTAAACTCCAGAAAATGAAAGATTTTTCGTCCGTAAAGAATGAAATTTTTTTCATTATCGTGAAAAATATAAAATTAATAAAATATTAGTTATTATTGTATATTATATTATATTATATATATATATATATATATATATATATATATATATATATATATATATATTACCAACAATATTACATGCTATATCACTAGGGGCGGTGACGGGTTTTGTCTCCCCGATCCTGTCTCCACTTTTTTAATCGTTCTTACTCTTGTTTCCGATTTTCGTTGCGGTTAAAAATTAAATTCACATCTTTATTCTCGTTGAGTTTTGAGTTTTCTCGCGTCCGTTGCGTCCTCGTTCTATGGTATTATTTTAAAAGTAATTATATATAAATTATAATAAATTAATTTTAAAATTATTCTCTTTTATGTTTTATTTATTATAAAAAATAAATATAATTTTACAACTTTTAGTATATTATTATTGATTGAGTGTATATTTTAATTTATTACATTTATATTAAAATAGTTATGTACAAAAAATATATTTAATCATTCTTTTTTCTTCCCATTATAAGTCGATAATCCTTTAAAATTATTAATCATTGTAAAAAATATATAATAAAAATAAGTTTCAACTAATTATCCTTTTAAAACAATTATGAAATACATTTAAAAAAACTAATAAATAAATAAACAAAGTTTCTCATAAAAAATAATATAAAAAAGCTGCATAATAATACATAACTGTGCATAATAATACATATAAGAAAAATAACAAATATTGAATAATTTAATGATCATCCTCCAAATGAGCAAGCAATGTCACTGTCCATCAATTCACCTAGATAATTTAAAATAAAATATATTATTAAAAAAAAGAAATAAAATATTGAAAAATAAATAATAATATTCTTTGAATAAATAAAATAATATCTTCATCACCAAAATTCATCTCATTGAATTAAATAGCATAGTCATCAACTAGTTGAAAATTCACACTACCTAAAGATAAAATATAAAGAGAATACTTGTTAAAATCTAAAAATGCAATCATTAAATATATATTTTAAAAGGTATATAAAACATTACCACTATTTTCAGCACTCCACAACCAACTCCTAGCACACATCAAAGCTTCTAGAGTATTCCAATGAAATCTACTACGATGAGGGCTTAATATTTGACCATTAATACTAAATGCAGATTCAAAAGCTACAATGAAGATAGAGATAACTAATACATCTTTAGCAATTGCTTGAAATGTTGGGTATTTGACTTTATTTAACTTCCACTACATTAGAATATCAAAATTAGTTTTTTCTTGGCAAATCATCTTCCTTTAAATAATGGTCTAACTCTGTTTTAACATTTGTATTTCTTGCCATTTTTTTCTCAAAATATATCTGTCATACTCAATTATAATGCATCACCAACAACATTAATATCATCCCTTGTTGGAGAATCGCCAACTGTGTCTTTATTTATTTTTGTTTGATACTCAGAAATCAAGTCATAACATAATTGACGAATCATCCTAACTTGCAAAAGGTATTCATGACCATACAACTTTTCATAATAATATTCAAGTAACTGCATTTTGTATCTAGGATCCAAAACAGTAGTGACTCCTATAATAGCATGAATCACGTTCCAATACTTATCAAATTTGAACAACATGTTCTCAGACATTTTTTTTAATCACTTCATTCGAGATACAATCCACTTAGTCAATGTCAATTTAATCTCACATATATTGGGAAAATACAAATTAGAATTTGGATGTTTAGTAGGAGAAAATAATTCTGTTATAAAATTAAACAACTTCAACCTTTCACAAACATCATTTGCAAACTGTCGTTGTAAACTAGTTGACAAACAAGTATACTGAGAATCTCATTGCTTCAATCGATTAAACACATCTTCGTATATTATGGCAATTTCAAGCATTATGTATGTTGAATTCCATCTTGTTAGACAATCTAAAACCAAGCTCCTAGTACAAGAGATGCACAATTACTTTATTGTTTCTTCAAACTTTTCTTTTCTCTTAGGTGTTACAGTCCAATATGTTATACTACCTCGAATTTTTTCAACCTCATCTTCACTACCTCTAGCCCATCTTTGACTATCAAATTTAATATATGAGCACAATAATGCATATGAAGTAAATCTCCATCTCTCAATAAAGTGTTAATTTGCAATTTACCCTTAATTTTTTTCAATCATAGCATCATTTGTAGTACAATTATCAAGGGTAATAATGGATAATTTTGTATCAATGTTCCAATCCATCAAATATTCAACTAATGCATTGCAAATTCTATCACTTGTATGAGGAGCTGGAACATAAATGAACCTAACATAATAATATTCACATAAATTTAATCAATATTCAATCATTTTACCATACGAAAATAAAAATAATATAAAATATGGCTAGGAAAGTTATTTGTTACCTTAAAATGTGACTTTGTAAATTCCAAGAATCATTAATATAATAAGCAGTGACAACCATATATCCTGTTTGTTGATTACCTGAAGCCCACATGTCTGATGTTATAGCCACTCTTCCTTCAAGACTATCCAATGACTTCAAAATTATTGATTTCTCATACTTGTAGACTTTGAATATTTCCTTTTTAATAGTATTTCTAGAAGGAACTTGAAATACTGGTTGGAGAGCATATATGAGTATCTCTTGAAACCAATATGATATACAATTGAAAGTGGATATTCATGCATAATAATTGCATATGCAAGTTCTTTTCTTACATGCTTTGCATCATAAATTCTTGTACCCAACTCTTTTTTACCTTGCATAGCTTTAGGGGTAAGAAATAATTGCTTTTTTTCCCTTTAATAGAAATCTTGAATTTAATACAACTATCATTGTGTTGCCATAGGTGTTTCGTCCCATTTTTTTATTTTTCTCCCAAAAGTTTCTTACAATAATTACACTGAGTCTTGTCCTCTCCATTAACTTGAATCTTTTGAAAATGTTCTCAAATCTTACTTTTAAGCTGATTTGATCCTAATGATATAGTCTCATCATGCTCATTATCTTTAGTTACTAGTGGGACTTCATTTGGTGTAGGAGTAGGACCCCCAAGGTTAGAATTTTCTTTTAACAATGATTCATGCGTACTTGCTTATGTTGTTTCATTATTTTTCATTATATAAAAAAATCCCTACCACCATAAACAAGATATGTATTATTGATTGCCTAAAGATAAAAAATCCTTTGTTTATTTCTTCTAAAATAAGACTTAAATTGGTCATAAAAGATAAGCAAATAAAATTATTTAATTAACATAAGATATGATAAATAAGAATAATAAACCTAAAAAACATTATATAACAGAAACCTAATAAAAACAAATTAGAAATTGAATTATACATTGATGTACATATTTAGAAAAAAATAAATAAACAAAAAATTACCTTATGCGTTCGATAAACTGATTGAAGATATTGGAGAAGTTGATCAGAGAAGTCAAACTAGTTAAAGAGATAGGAGAAGACAAATGTGAGTTGAACTGATTGAAGATATTGGAGAAGTTGATCAGAGAAGTCAAACTAGTTAAAGAGATAGGAGAAGACAAATGTGAGTTGAACTAAGACTAGTTGTAAAGAGATTGAAAAAGACAAAGAAATTAAGAATATATGGAAATAAAAGAACACACTAAATAATAAAAGGTATAAGAAGACAAAAAGAGTAATATAAAAAATAGAGAGTTTATATATCAGGATTTAAATTTAAATATATATATATATATATATATATATATATATATATATATATAAGTAAAAAAGAAAAAAGACAAACGGACAAACAATTAATATTTTATAATTTAGATTTAAATATAATGTGGGGGCGGATGCAGAGTGAAAATCACATTACACATCTTCACCCTCGAACCCAATTTCTTAAAGCGTAGAAAATCCGAACCCAATCAACTTGATTTTTTCCGTCAATCTTAAGATGAAAACGAGTTGATTGCCACAGATTTGATTGTCATCCCATTATACGACTTTGATTAATTATTATCATAATATTATTTTAGGTGACATATGGCGTATTATCCAATATTATATGCACATATAACATGAGAGGTACAACAAAATATTTTTCCTAGAAAATGTCACTACGTTAGTGTCTGTTATAATCCTTGTTAATTTTATTATAATAATGATGATGTAAAAACCTATTTTCAGTAGCAACGATAATCTATAATCTATTGCTCTTCAAATTTATAAAGAGAATATTTTTTTAATATAATTTGCCTTTGTTTTAGTGATGTTTAATCTCCATAGTTCAATTTTTTTCTTTTTAAGATTTGTGATTAAGTTATGGCTTGCGACATTTTCAGATTTGGGATTAAGTAATTTACTTTTAAAACATATAATGTTTATAAAGAATAAAGAAGAGAAATATACGTGAGGAAAAGAAACAATATAAAAAGCAGATGATTCAATTGATTTAATATAAAATCTAAAGTAAATAAAATAAATTCAATATTTAATTTAGATTAATGTTTACAATTTTTATTATTGTAAGTTGTTAAATAATTTTTGTATAAAATTGTTAAAATAATTTAAAAATTAATAAACATTTTATAATAAATTTTTATGATTGTATTATATTTATAATTTCAATTTATCTCATATTTATAAATATATTACATAATTTTTATAATGAAAAATTATAAATAAATTTATTATCATATTTTAATAATATAAATATAATTTATATTATAAATAAATATATAATAAATAAAATTCAATAAAAACCTAAAATTAACTTAATTCATTTTATATTTAGAATGGTTACATACCCTCAGGCTCCAAATAGTGATGATTTTTTTCTCATTTTGTCCTGTAGCCACGTGGCCTCATCATTTGAAACGATCATTGCTTCATCCCATCTCACTCACTTCTCACTTTTCAACTTTCTCTCTCTGGTTTCGCAATTTTCCCCAATCTCAGCCTAGGGTTTTTTATCGCAAACACCCTCCTTCCTTCCTTCCCTGCCAGGTACTGAATCCTTCCACCGAACATCAGATCTACCTCAATTCCTGCTTCCTCCACCCTCGATCTGTCGAATACCAATGTTTTTTTTCCCCTTCAATTCCACCGATTTTGATTCGAGACTATAACTTGATTTTTCCTTGCATTTCATCACAGGTTGCGAGCAAAGGATTCCGAAGCTTCGACTCTGCTGGAAGAAAAATGAGACCTGTTTTCTGCGGAAACCTGGATTTCGACGCCCGACAATCTGATGTGGAGAGGCTCTTCAGAAGATACGGGAAAGTCGATAGAGTTGACATGAAATCTGGTATATCATCTTTTGTTTTCGTTTATTTTTAATTTCATTTTGTTTAGTTTATGAGTGCTCTTTCACGAGATATTTTTTTTATAGCATTGTGAATTGTGATTATTGGTAGTACTAGGTGTTTTTACTCTGTTGATTGTGATTTTGTATGATATGTTTGGTATATTGGATGGCAAAGTTGAATGGAACTGGAAGATTGGATGTTTCAGAGATGAGTTAGTTCTGTTGCAAGGAAGCAGGTTGACTGGCGTTACACGGTGAATGGGCGGTGTTTGAGGATGTGGAAGTTGAGATGAAAGTTCTCACTTGGGTTGAGTCAACTGTTTGGGACAGGAAAATGCTATGCATAACCATTGCAACCAATCATAGAACTCATTGACCCTTTTATGATGTCAGTTTGGATACACCAAGAAACAAAAAGAAGAAAACTAATTGTCTTTTCATTGTTCTGAAACTGTTGAGCATTTTAAATTGTCACTTATTTTCTTTGCACATTTGGCCAAGGAGAGTGTAAGTAGTAACATCCTCATGTTTCTGTTTACCCAAAATTTTATTCTAATAAATCAGATGAGTGTAAGGGCTTGGATGCCTTTTTTGAGCCTTTACTCTTTTAAAACTTTCTGTTTTTGTCTTGGACGTTAATTGGAGAATGCTCGACCACCTGGAGTCCACCATTGATTCTTCCATGATTTACCATCCAAAACTGTCAACCGTGACTTCCATCCTCAATCGATTCTTGAAAGGGTCGAGATGTTCTTTGACTAGTTTCTTTTGAATGGATGTACATTTTCGTTTCCTTTTTAAGAAAGAAAACTGTCATTAAGATATGATCCCCCATACTCAACAATTTCTTTGTGGCAGGATTACTTGGAAAGTTGGAATGTCCATGCTCTTCTTGGATGGATGTGCTTCTCTGCATTTCTTTTCTAGAATGTGCCCCAGCTTCTCCTTCTTGTATTTTTCCAGAAGAAATAATCTGATCCGTCCTTGCCCTGCCATTCTGCATTTCCTCAGCATTCATTGCTTTTTCATTCCTCATGACTTTTGCTCAATGTTCAATTTCCAACATGTTTCAACATAGAAACCATGATGATTTCGCAACTGTGGCAGGTGTTATGGTACTTCTTGACAGTTTTTACTTGTGTTTTATGTTGAATTTTATCTCATCTGCAAAGTTGTTGAATGCCTTCTTTTCTAAATCTTCATGAAATGAGTATTCAAATACTAATGAACTTTGCGTATACTGTTTTGTGTTTAACATTCTTGTTTCATAGGGTTTGCTTTCGTCTACATGGAAGATGAACGTGATGCTGAGTATGCAATCAGAAGACTTGATAGAACAGAATTTGGTAGAAAGGGACGGCGGATTCGTGTTGAGTGGACTAAGGTTGGTTATGTTAGGTAGTAATTACATTATTACGACCAAGTGGTAATTATTATACTACCTTGTGTGCATACTTCATATTATGATGCCCTGGCATGGTATTCTTGTTCACAAATATTTTGAGAAACTTATATTTGTTTGATTTAGTTGTTTCTGATGATAGAGTGTCATCTCATGAGAATCCAAACTTACTGTGCATTCTCTCGCAAGTTGACATGTTTGTTTATTCAAATGAACTTGTTCTTTCAGCTGCTCCTTATTTTGTAACTCTGGTTTGTTGTTCAGATTTTAAGTTTTAACATCTACTGTATTTTTTATGATTTGAAGCAAGAACGTGACAGTAGAAGGTCAGGTGGTGATTCCAGAAAATCTTCATCTAATTCAAGACCATCCAAAACTTTGTTTGTTATAAATTTTGATCCAGTTCACGCCAGGACAAGGGATCTGGAGAGACATTTTGATCCTTATGGGAAAATATTAAATATAAGGATCAGAAGGAATTTTGCTTTTATTCAATATGAATCCCAGGAGGATGCTACTAGAGCTTTGGAGGCGACCAACTTGAGGTTGTAATTGCCTTCTCAATTGTTGACTAGTTATTTCTGTTTCCCCTTTGAAATACTCTAACTTGGGTAAAGAATGATGGGGAAAGGGGATGTGTTTGCTGATTGCATGTTAGTTTAAAGCTCTTTTGATTGATTAATGTTGATTTGCAGCAAGTTCATGGACCGTGTTATCACAGTGGAGTATGCCATAAGAGATGATGATGACAGGGATAAAAGGAACGGATACAGTCCTGAAAGAAGAGGTCATGACTCTCCTGATGGGAGATATGGTCGTGGTAGATCACCTAGTCCATATCGCAGAGGTAGGGGTAGCCCAGATTATGGTCATGGATCAAATCCAGCTTCCAGACCAGAAACAAAAGGTAGCCCCAAGTATGAACGAGCTGAAAGTCCGATAAATGGGAGATATGATAGGTCTGATCTAGTTTACATGTTTTGTTTTCTTGACATAGTTTTTGGTGCTATCTCATTATATTCTGACTCTTATAATGTTCATGCAGCCGGTCTCCACCACCCCGAGATAGGTCACGCTCTTGAGGAAAAGCTGAATAGAACTGTGAAATTGTTAGACCATTTTATTTTTTATTTTAGTCCATAGTTTGGCAGCAAAAACTCAAACTTGTTATATATTAACTGTTATGTTTGGTTAGAACCTTAAATTGCAAAAGACACAAGATGTTATTATGTTGCTTGTCAAGTTGTGGTTTGATGTTCCTCATTGCTTATGATTCATATTTATGACTTGCGCAGGCATTATGTTTCAATTTTCTATATTTGCCTTTAGGTTTTTTCACTCTGGATCTTGGATCAATGATGTCTTCTGAGCTTGACTTTGCGGGCCATTTGGCGCGTCCTTTGTTTATTGATTTGATGTCAATTGTTCTGCACATCGTGTTATGCTATGTACGTAGCCATCGGCTAAAATGGCTCCGGTCGGAAGTTTTTGAACTTCAAGTTATTCAAGTTACACAACTCTGAACAAATTTTTAATCAAGAAAATTAAGTTATTCAAGTATCAGATTTGCACTCTATGTTTAGACTAGGGAAATAGGTTCATTTACGTAAAAAAAATTATTATATTAACGCTGCCAATAAAACAAAATAATAAAAAATTAATAGAGAGAAATACGTTATTAAGCCATGACAATTTTTTTAACGAAAATGAGTTTTTTCCACTTTCAATTCTTACAAAATCAATGATTGAAGTATTTGATCGTGACAACAAAATTATACAAAGCATCGATCTGTGTTTCTTGTCAATTCAAATTGCGTTAGAGAGCTCGTCCGCAGTGAAGTAAATGTGTTTTCTTCAATCATTAAGTATGTATTTTTCTGCTGTTACCTTTTTTTATTATTATTAATGATGAAATATGTTGAATTAATTTTCCAGGTATTTTTCTTAAATATTTAATCAATTATTTTAAAATTTCTAGTAGTTTAAATTAAAAATATTTTATTTATTTATATCATATATAAACATAAATTTATACAAACATGGCTGGAAGAGAAAGTTCTACTAAAATTATTAATCCGGATTTAATTATTCATCAAAACAATGATATTCTAATTTTCGTGTTGGTAGTGTTTGAACAAAAGATATCAAGATTTAATATTAAAATATTTAAAAACTTATTTATTTTAAGGAATTATTTTATTTTTTAATACCTTAACTAGATAAACAGTTAAATTTTTTCATGTTGCAATTTCTTTATTGATAACGTCATTTAATTTTCATCGTAAACCATTTTTATTTTATGTTCAATTAAAATTTTTACTAGAGCATTTCATTATTTTAAAAATGATTTAAAACTCATTTAAAACTTAATTTACACTCTAAAAAATCACATCCAAACAACCCAAAATAATTTTGTACCATTGTAAAAGAAGGCAAGTTATTCTGCTATACAATCAGTGTTTACAAATTTGCGGGGTATTAAGATTTGATTAATTAACATTTCCGACATAAGTTCTGTTTTTATTATTATTTTTTAATGTGTGGAGTTATTATTGTTATTTGCCTTTCTTTGCGTAACATACTGTCTGTTAACTAATTCTAACTTAATAATTTTTTTTACTAATTTCTTGTTTTATATTATTTTTATTTTAAAATTTTATATTCTTAAGAACATTTTATATTGCTTTTTTCCTAGGCTCTCAACTTTTAATCATATATGTTTTGAGCTTCTCTTTTATTTTTGACCCTCTTGAATCTACTTTCTTTTTCTCATTTCAGCCAAACTTTCTTCCGACAATATTTTTTTTTTCTTTCAAAACCAAACAAAAAAAGTTAACTAAACCTGCTCCCAGTAGAACTTAACCTTTATATACCTCCTTAATCCGTTTTGAAATGCAAGTTGACTATGCAATTAAAAACCAGAATTAAAATTCCTTTTTTATTAGAATGCAGAAAAATATGCTCTTCTATAGAATTTTATTGCACATTTGTATGATTTTCAATAAAAAAAATTTCGACTTTTTTACTAAAATAATATTATTATATTATATATATACTTAACAAAATATATGATGAAATTATTTATTTAACTGAATTTCTCATGAAATTATTTACTTAACTGAACCTTTTTTACTGTTGTACTTAGAATTTGATTTCTCGTCAATCGAATTCCAACTTTAAACTTACCACTTTTTTTTAAATAAAAAATTAAATAAAATATATAATTAAAAATAATAAAAATAAGATTAAAATAATATTAAAATAAAATTTTAATTTTAAAATTTAAATAATATTTATATAAAAAATAATAAAAATAATATATTATTTAAATATATATATATATATATATATTAAATTATTTAAATATATTTAAATAATTATTAAAAATATTAAATAATAATTTTTATTATATTTTTTATATATTTTTATTTTATTTTTGAATAGGAAATTTAAAATTTATATATTTTTTTATTATATGAATTATTTAAGTTATAATTTTAGAAAAAAATTGATAAATTTAATATATAAAATATTAAAAGTAAAATTAAAAATAAGTTACTAGTAGCAAAATAAAAATTATAGAACATGATATTAAAGAAAAATAATAAAGGTAGAAAGATTTTTATAGAGTGAAAATAATAGAGGTTTACGAAGAAGAAAACCTCCACAAATTTCTCCCGAAATTCAAGAACAACCCCACCGACGAAATACAAAATGTAATAGACGTCGTCCTCGTTGTGGAACTAGACATCACTTTTGACATTAAAATTTTCTTAACATTATTGTCAATAATTTTATTTTTCAATTTTTATTATCAATGATTATGTTATTTTTAATATTATACATTAAATTATGTCAATTTTAATTATTTTTTATTTATAAGTTTATTTTATATTAATAATAATAATAATTTTTAACTAATTAAATAATATTTTTACTTTATTATTTAAAAAAAATTAATTTTAGCATGAATTTTTTAATATAATATTTATAATTTATCAAATAAAAACTATTACATAAATTTTTATAATATAATATTTAATTTTTTAATATATTACCTAAATTAAATTTTTATTTATTCTATTTTTTTTTCTAAAATTATAACTTAAATAATTCATATAATAAAAAAAATATAAATTTTAAATTTCCTATTCAAAAATAAAAAAATAAAAAAATAAAATAAAAATTTATTATTTAATATTTTTAATAATTATTTAAATATATTTAAATAATTTAATATATATTTAAATAATATATTTTATTTAATTTTTTTATTTAAAAAAAAGTGATTAGTTTAAAGTTGGATTTCGGTCTAAAAAAACCTAATTCCAAATACGCAAGTAAAAGAGATTCGATTAAGTAAATAATTTTATAAGAGGTTCAGTTAAGTAAATAATTTAATTAGAGATTATGTTACGTATATATATAATATAATAATATTATTTTAGTAAAAAAGTTACATTTTTCTTTATTATTTTTCTTAAAATAATACTTATTAACAAAGACTATATTGAAAATTATGAACAATAAAAATAATAACCAATGGCATATCAAACAATATTTTTAATATAAAATGTTATTTTGAAATCTTGAATTATTATTTTTGGGTGGACTGGATTTCTAATGATATATAATCTTTTAAAATTTTAATTTTTTTTAGTTCTCGTAATTTTCTTACTCTTATTCCAATAACTTTTTGCTTTAAGATTTTTAAAATCGAAATATTTATACTTCCTCTTCATATAAGATTTTGTAATAAGAAATCAATCAAGATATTGTTGAAAAATTATAATATCAGTAAACTTGTAAAATCACATAAAAGTTATTTTAATAATAAATCTTTTAAAAATATATTTAATAAAAAAAGAAATAGGGAAGATGTTTGAAAATAATATAGTGGCAATTTTTCCTGATTTACCAGCCAACAAACTCATGCTTGGTTTCACCAAACTTTTAATCAGTGGCATCTTCGTAATTTTGAATAAAAAACAATGTCAAATGTTTGTCAATTCAAAAACCATAACACTGAACACTTCCTCATGATCCATCGACTTCTCACGTGGGATTTTCATTTTAATCTCTTTGAAAAGTAGCATCTGTCCCCACATCACACGTGGCAATGTTTCCACGTCAGCACATTGCAACGTACAGAAGAAATCCTTAGAATTTTCAAATTTTAACAAATCCCAACGGTAACCTTGTCTGTGCAACCCGCAATCTCCACCGCCCGATCATCGAACCTGCTCGACTTTTAAGCCTCATTACACAAAACATAAGCTCCCCTTCTCCCTCAACACTTTACACTAGCTTCCACGTTGGTAAAAATTTGATTTTTGAATAATGGGTGTGTGTGAACGTTGTTGTTTGTGTTGTACTTGTTGTGTCGTTTTGTGAAGTTACGCTTTTTAATATACTTTGCAGCAGGTTTTGCTTCAAACTTGATCACCTCTTTCATTTTGAGTGTGTCGTGTCCGTTTCTCAATTATGACACAGAGACGTTTCTGATCCTCAGAAAATGAGGGGTGTGGTTTTGGAGTAAATCCAGCTGTGTTTTAATTGATGAGTTTGGAAGCATTGCATTTAAATTTTCCAGTGTCGGTGGGTTGGTGCTCTCTATAGCCATTTCTGAAGCTGACTACAGTGTGATAGAGAGTGTCAAGTTTGAAGATTAAGCTATACAAAGGCTTAGCTTGTTTCCTTAGTTACTCATTCTTAAAGGTTGGTCTTCATGTGTGTTTTTTTGTAGTTGCTTGTTTGCTTTGTTCTCTTTCTATAGAAAAGAAAAATTCTGTTATTTATCACTCCTTTTTGTTGTGAACTTGATATATTCTGTTATGTCTTTTGGTTGCAGAAACAGTCGAGAACAACAGTAATAGCTCTCGACAGGATCAATTCTTTGAAGATTCAGCAAGTCAAGTTAGTTTGAGGTATATTACTATTTAAATATATTATTTTGAATTTCCCTCAATGTTAATAGTAATAATGGTAACAATAAATAATAATAATACTAAGGGGTTATTAATTATATATAATTGAGTTGTATAATAACAGAGACTTTTGTTTTGTGTCTTTCCTTCAAAGTAAAGCCTTTCCCTTTCTCAAACCGGTAGCCTTTATGTGGAGAAATATGGAAAAACCCTGCAAAGAATCCTCTTTTGAGGAGCCTGTCTTGTAGAAATTGGAATCCTTTATTTGGGTTGGAACCAACATGACAAACAAAACATCCTACATTACCTTTGATACGCTCTCCAACAACCTTCATTTTCATGGTTGGAAAGTAAAGTAGGAGAAGAGTATGTGTCAATGACCAAAATACCCTTTGAAAGGGTCTTCTGTTACATTTATACCATGGCCTAATGAATTTGATTTGTATAGTATTATCCACCGACGACTTATTAATTGGACTTAATAGTTAGCCGTTACACGCCAATTCCCTCACTTTCATCAACCCCCTTTATCATCAACCATGGTTTAGATTGTCTTCTTATTCACATCGGAATTTAATATATGGTTTGGAATTTCCAAAGGGCATTAAATGATCACTTGCTCTAAAGTAAAGGAAAGAAAGACTCGTGGGGCATATCTAGGTACTTCAGTTTTGATGATGGTTGATTCATGCTTTCAAACAAGATTTGTGTGTGATCATAAGATTCTCGACGTTATTGATGTTGGTCTAGTCCTTTTTATTTCTTTTTATAGTCTGAGAATTTTTCTATTGGAGTCTTAATTTATAATTTACGGATTTTATGATTGCAACTGCTCCACAACTTTTTAATTTTCTATGGTGATAGTATCATTGCCTTTCTACAAATTGGCATCTCCATCATTTCTTTGAGCTTGGTTTTCTTCTATTCTACAGCTTTGGTGATCATCAATTAAATTTTACTATACTACCAATCTGTCCAAATTTGAAATCATGGTGGAAGCTAGTAAAGATGTAGTAGCAGTTGATGCCTGTTCAACAGAAGACTGGTTGTTGCATGCACAGGAACTTGTTCCTGTGGTTCTTGCTAAGGCAAGAGAGGTAAAGGGGTTCCCGGGTAGGTGGAAGATGATCATTTCAAAATTGGAGCAGATTCCGTCCTGTTTATCGGATTTGTCTAGCCACCCTTGTTTCTCCAAGAATGCTCTTTGCAAGGAGCAATTGCAGGCTGTGTCAAAGACACTTAAAGAAGCCACGGAATTGGCTGAGTTGTGTGTGAAGGAAAAGTACGAGGGTAAGCTTCGGATGCAGAGTGATCTTGATGCATTAACGGGGAAATTGGATTTGAATTTGAAGGATTGTGGTCTCTTGATCAAGACCGGTGTGCTCGGTGAAGCTACTTTGCCGTTAACCGTGTTAGGTTCTATGGCAGAATCAGATATTGCAACACACAACAATATAAGAGAACTACTAGCGCGCCTTCAGATTGGTCACTTGGAAGCAAAGCACAAAGCGTTAGACAGGCTCTATGATGTTATGAAAGAGGATGAGAAGAATGTTTTGGCTGTTCTTGGCAGGAGCAATATTGCTGCTTTGGTTCAATTGCTCACAGCAACCTCTCCAAGGATAAGGGAGAAGACCGTTACTGTTATATGTTCTCTTGTGGAATTGGGGACCTGTGAAAAGTGGCTAGTTTCTGAAGGAGTTCTGCCACCTCTTATTAGACTTGTTGAATCTGGTAGTGCTGTCAGTAAAGAGAAGGCTACAGTATCTCTTCAGAGATTGTCAATGTCAGCAGAAACAACTCGTGCAATTGTTGGACACGGTGGTGTTCGGCCCTTGATTGAGCTTTGTCAAAATGGTGATTCTGTGTCACAGGCTGCTGCTGCCTGTACTTTGACAAATGTATCAGCTGTTCCTGAGGTGAGACAGGCTTTGGCTGAAGAAGGTATTGTGAGGGTTATGATCAATCTTCTTAATTGTGGAATTTTATTAGGTTCCAAAGAGTATGCTGCTGAGTGCTTGCAGAATCTCACTTCAAGTAATGAGCATTTAAGAAAGTCTGTTATATCAGAAGGTGGTGTCAGGAGTCTTCTGACCTATCTTGATGGTCCACTTCCCCAGGAATCTGCAGTTGGAGCATTGAGGAATCTGGTTGGATCAGTTTCTGAGGAAACTTTGGTTTCTCTTGGTTTGCTTCCCCGTTTGGTTCACGTTCTGAAGTTCGGATCTTTAGGTGCTCAACAAGCTGCAGCTTCTGTTATCTGTCGAGTTTGCAGCTCAATGGAGATGAAGAAAATGGTTGGTGAAGCTGGCAGCGTCCCTCTTCTCATAAAGATGCTTGAGGCCAAAGCTAATGCTGCTAGAGAGGTTGCTGCTCAAGCAATTTCAAGCCTGATGGTTCTGTCCCAGAATCGGAGAGAGGTTAAGAAAGATGATAAAAGTGTGCCAAATCTTGTCCAATTGCTTGATCCAAGCCCTCAGAACACTGCCAAAAAATATGCAGTTTCATGCCTTGGATCACTTTCCCCATGCAAGAAATGTAAGAAGCTAATGATTTCGTATGGAGCAATCGGGTATCTGAAGAAGCTTACAGAGATGGAGATTCCAGGAGCTAAAAAGCTACTCGAGAGGTTGGAAAGAGGGAAATTGAGAAGCTTGTTCAGCAGAAAGTAGAGGAACCATTGAAAGTTGCAAGTGACTATTTGTATCATGAAGCTTTTTCTTTTTTACTTTTGTTCTTGTCAATGTTGTTTCATTGTCTATATGAAACAAGTAGCTTAGAGTGTAAACTGTGAAATGAGTAAGTTTGGTAATCTGTGCAATCCATCTTTAGATCATATCATATTTATCTTTCTGTATCATTTGTTTTGTTTTTTTTTTTGTCGGAAACTTATCATTTTGCTAGCATTTGAACTCTGGTCAACATATGAGAAGTCTCATCAAACTTCTTTTATCACCTCTCTGTTTCTTCCAACACTTTCTTCCAACACTAACTATTGCATGCAATGCAACCATTCTGTCAAGCTCCAATCCGTAATGATTATAAAATATAATTGAATCAGTTTACAAAATTTTGTTCAGTTATTCTGATTCTTTATAATCAAAGAAATACATGCATAACTGCAAGTCTATCATATCAGAAAATAAACCAGGCAAATTTTCGCTACAAACTTCTGTACTAATTATGCAATGATCATAAGAGATTTCTAGGACATTTAGCATTCATGCATACTTCTTTAATAACGTTTACATGTTTAATAAAGTATAAAATATTTCTTTTCTAGGCAAGTTGAACAAAACTTTACATATTTTTCTTTTTCTGTTTTCGTTTCCATTCTTTGTTCTTTTTTGTTTTCTTACAGAACACTTTTACATTTTCTAAAGTACGCTATTTTGCTAGATTTTAGTTAAATATTTTCATGTTAGTTTAACATCGATTCCCTGAACCAATTTAATGCTATTAAGATAATGATAACTGATGAATCTTAAGATGAAAAATAAAATCTTATATATATATATATATATTTTTTTTTTTTTGAAATGACACCTATTATTTATTAATAATGAGTTGATATATAAATAATCTTTAGCTTATGTGTGGAAGATGTATTGTAAGTTTGTCGTTTTGCGAGTTATCTTTATGTCTGTGTCATATATTTTCCGATAATTAGCAACACACGGATACTTGCACGAGAAAAAAGAAAAGTAAAGTGCAATATGTTTCACAAAAGCATTAAATAGTGTTCAACCCCGACGACTTTGAGAACTTTTATGATCCGTATATATTTTAGGATGAAAAGAAAAATCTAAAAATATTTAAATTTAAATTATTTGAAGTATGAATTTTGTTAAAACTTAAATGTATATTTTTGAATTTTTAAATTTAATCTAGTTAATTAAATTTTAAATTGAATATAGATTTGATTTTTTTTATAATCAAATTGATTTTTAAACAAAAACACAAACAAATCTAATGAGATAGATGATCTTATTAGCCAGGTTTCTAAATTATCTTTAGGAACCAACACATACACTAAGACAATTTCTAAAAATACACAGAAATTTGTTAAAGTGTCTACAAATGGTCTTAAAAATCAGACCAACAAAGAAGAAGTTTCTTCTTCTACAAATAAAATTGTGAGTTAATTATGTTTACACGACCTATTAACTCCACACAAACACAATTAGAAACTGTTGATATGAATAATACAACAGATTCTAATCAAACACATAGATTCCCTGGAGTCCCCAGAAGATTGAGGGAACATCAAACCAGGAGTCAAAACCTGATACAACATCCAGGAATCTTGGATAGATTCCTAAATAGGCAAAGATCTACTAATGTCAGACGTTTGGAAGACTTAGTAGATATACAACAAAATACTGAGATAGGATCAAATACAAGGATAGATTCCTTGAATCCTAGGCAGTTATACAATATCGGATGGTTAAGTTCAGAAAGGACTAGCCTTTACCGATATAGAAGAATAGAAGATTTTCATCTTCCAGACAACACTTATGAGATAATTCCTCTGATATCTCAACAAACTGGTAGGCAACTACTAGGCCAACAAGGAAGATATGTCCATATGGGATTGATTACCATTGGAGTTAGATCCTTGGCTAGGCATATGATTGGAGCTAGAGCTTTGATAGTTTTACATGACTCTAGATTCCAAAACAATGATTCACAAAGTGTGATAGGTATTTTAGAGGTAGATTTAAATCAACCTTTTTCATTGATATACCTAGCACCAAACTTTACAATTACACTTCCAGATTTTGTTAACCACATAAGTCTAGAAGTACAAACAGGTAGGATTTGGACCTAATTGGTTAGGCGAAAATCTACACTTAGATATCACCTTTATTGGAAGAATTAGTAACCATATTTCTTCCATGTATAGGATTGATACAAGACCATTAGAGGAAGCTATTAGCTCTCATGGTACACAATTTTTGCCGACTCAAGCCTTCACAAGGAGAAATGAAGGACATTTGTGGCAAACACATTTACCTAGGGAAGAAGATACTCCCGTCATTGCCCCTTCATCTCGCTATTTTGCATAACGAGATCTAGAGGACTTAGTCTAAGTTTCACGAGACTATAGAAATATTCCACGACTAGACCTAGAACAAGATAGGCCAGTGGAAAATAGGCATAGCACTTCTGCTATTCCTGACAATGAAAACATTTCTATGATGAATATTGTAGAATGTGAAGAAAATGAAGATGATGACATGACTGATGAGGAATGGAATCATCATCAGGCTATCATAGCCATGTTTAGACAAGGAACTTCAAATTCTTTGTCTCATACAAATGAAAATGTCCAAATTAATGAAGAAGATGATGTCATTAATGAAATGGACAACATTATAAATGCATTCTTAGATGAATATTTTTCAGATAAGGAAAATGATACATCTAAAACCTCAGAACCTTTTTTAGGGTTAATCGATACAAATGATGGACCATCAGATACTCTGGATAATGTATCTTTAGGTTCAGAACCTTTGTCTTGGATAGACAACATAAAAAGTGATACATTAGATAATGTATCCATAATTTCAGAACCCTTATCAACATTAGGGTTAGTAAATACAAATGAGGGATCAAATAGTTATCAACCTCACAGTCTATCGGTTACTACCGATGGTATACATAGTTACTCTGTTGGTTTTCCACCTAGAGTATCTCCACAAAATGTTGTCTTTAGTGACAACCAATACACAACATTAGGCAAAAGGCTTCAGATAGAGCCAAATTTCCAAATGCCTAATCTTCTTCTAAACATAGGAGGAATAGATCCTCAACTATTGCCAACATACATTGAGCAATGGACTTGCAGTTATGATCCGTGATTATGGCATACATCATGAGAAAGATGTTCACTCTTCTCAAGAAATGATTGCTAAAGCTGAAACCTATTTAGGTGATATAGCTAGAGCTTGCTTGGGAATCTTTTAAGAAAAATTACCCAGCTGACTTAAATATGTTTGTGATCGAACCAGGTCCTAACATATACAATTTTTGTTCTTTGTTACAAAAATTGCTTACTTCCGATCTGCTAATGATGGGAACACACTCGGACAACATGATTTATCTGGGTCATTTAGAAAGACTTTCCATAACGTACTTTGGAAAGATAAAAGAATTTTTACAAGATTATCTCATGTATGCATCCATAGCTGGATGTTTTCATGATTTAAGCATTGGAGAAAAGATGTTTCTCAAACTACCGGGAAAACTTGGCCAAAAGATCCGAGAATCCTGGAAAAATGAAGAGGTTACTCCCATGTTGAACAACCTCTCTATACGTATACAGCACATCATGAAAGTGATGGAAGATACGTGTACACATATTGCTATACAAAAGCAATTAAAAAATTCCGATCCTGGAATTTGCAAACAAATTTATACTCCTCAGCAGTATAATCAAAACAAGCCTTACAGAAGGCCTATACCTAGAAGTAAACCTAGGTATAATAAAAACTACAATCAGAATTCTTATTCTGAAAGACAAAAACCCACAACTTCTAGAAAGACTTACACGATTAGGTCTTCAAATTCTAGAAAACCAACTCTAAACCCTGATAGACACGTTAGAAAATTTAGAGAAAACAAAACATACAAGCAAGCTTTGAAATGTTTTGCTTGTAATCAACCGGGACACTTTTCTAGAGATTGTCCTAACATTACAAATCTTTACACTAAAGAGGCAGAATTGATAAAATCCTGCCACATGAACCTTCTTCCAATAGATGAAGATGTTTCTACTGACTCTGAAATACTATCAGTGATTAGTATTACGAGTATAATGATGAAATCAATTTAGATAAAAGCCATAAAGATTATGGCCTAATAAATGATTTCACAAATAATGAATTCATTCACCTTTATCCAAATGAAAATGATTTTCAAGCTGGATAATAAATATAATGAATTAGGAAATATATTAGATGATTATGGATATTGTCTAATGAATACTACAGTTTCTTCTTTTAAGGAAACTAACAAAAGGGTATTGCAAAGTTCCTTCAGTTATACAGGTACTACTATGGCAAACCCAATCAACAAAGGCAAGTTACCGGCCTCGACAACCGAAGAGTTTGATACTCTAAAGTTTGGAACACAACATCTTCGGTTTTACCGGAAGGTCACCCTCAACAATTCAAATGTCCGAGGAACTGCATCTGTTTCAGGAGAACAAAAAGTATTACTTGATGCTCTTCATCGAGCCTGTAGTACAACAGCAAAGTTTAATGCTATTAATGCATTAAATTATTACTTTGCAAAAATGTTGCCCGTTTTTTTTAAAAAACCCAAGAAAGAGGCCTACTGCCTTTTTACTGGAGATAAGCGTGGCATTTACCTATCATATCCCTCTCTGTTGAAGGCAATAGGTAATGACAAACACAGCAAATTTCAAGGATTTGGTAACCTTGAAGAAGCAGTACAAGCGATGGTCAGCTATGTTGGAGGTGACAACAGCCTGTTGGACCATCCTGAAGTTGGTAATTTCATTTTTGAAAAACCAACAAAACAAAAGAATTTTTCGATTTATGATTCCATTAAACTTAGACAACGATTGGCGTTTGCTAAGAAAAAGGAACAAAAATTGAAAAACTCTTTTTCTTTTCAGAAAAATGATTTTCAAAAACATATTTCC